GATAGTTTTCCATATTAGAGTCTTTATTTATTTTAAACATAATCTAGGTGATAGTTTTCCATTTTGTAGCTTTGCTCTAGAGCAGATCAATCCTAGTAAATATCAGAACTTACGTTAGCATAAGAAAGCAAAAACCAACAAAAATATGTAAATAATCTAACAATATTGATAACACTTTTCCTGTTGAATATAAAAAGTCAAGTAATAAGTTTTATTAACATTAAGGTGATTGGCTAAATAGTGGAGTATCATTGTTGTAACTACCGACATCTACCAAACATGTTGCAAAGTTACTTGTGTTGTTACTACCGGCATTTTCTTGATATGCTACTTAATTTCTAGCCTCCTAGTGGCTCAGCGATATATGTACGGTCCAACAATGCTAGAAACCGGGTTTCGATACTCGTAATGGGCACAGCACAAATAGCCCACTGTGTAGCTTTGTACTTAACTACAAACAAAACATTTTTTTTCTTCTGTTGCTATTGGAAATAATTCATAATGCGATTTAAATTAGTAGTAATATAATACACGTAAGTCTGCGATAGACTTGAATAACTGGGTGAGGTGGTGGGGGGTTGACCGACTAGTTTCCTAACCACAACACAACGTGATATAGTAATCATTCTTATATTAAAAAAAAGGGCATTATGGGTGAAAAGAGACGGTACTCATTGGTAAAGTAATGGCCCTGTTATTCAGAGGTCCTAGGTTTAAGCCTCAGTCTTAGTTTTTTTCCACTCCTCGGCTTTTTACGTTTTACGTAAGTTAGTTAGTGACATATAGTCATGTTACTAAGTGATTTATTGAGCTAGTGACATCTTGTCATGTCACTAAGTAATTTATGTAACTAGCAACATCTTGTCATTTCACTAAGTTAGTTAGTGACATATAGTCATGTTACTAAGTGATTTATTGAGCTAGTGACATCTTGTCATGTCACTAAGTAATTTATTTAACTAGCAACATCTTGTCATGTCACTAGGTTAGTTAGTGACATATAGTCATGTGACTAGGTGATTTATTGAGCTAGTGACATCTGGTCATGTTTCTGGCCTGTTTAACCTAAAGAAACTTGACTAGAAGAAAACTTGAAACTCTCTTTTTATGTTTCTGGCTTGTTTAATCTGAAGAAACTTGATTAACAGAAAATTTGAAACTTTCTTTTATGTTTCTGGCTTGTTTAACCTAAAGAAACTCGACACATGGTCATTATTTCCATTAAATATTTATAAACTTTTCAGAGTTATGTGAAATATGCAGGAGAACTATGTTGTAACTACCTCCAAACACAAGGAAATGTTAATTTTCCCAGGAAATTACCTTAAGTTAAAATGGACATTTTTGGTCACCAGACCTGTGCAAAGAGCTTACGTTAAACAACACAACAAGGTGAACAAGAATCTGTCTTTATTGAAAAACCATAATTTTAGTATTCCGTTTAGGTGGACTTGCAAGTTACTTGTGTTAAGATTTTATTAATAAAAGAGATGCATAGCTTAACTCATTTCTTGACATGAAAAGATAACATACTTTGCAATTCATTTGAAAATATGCAAAACCCATTTCATTCCCTAAACTGACTGACATAGAATAGCTATATATTTCTCTCCAACAGACGAGATGCAGGTGGGTGAAAGATCCGTGTAGAAATCTCCTAAAACTTTAGCCTGATCTAGGAGATCAGATGCTGCTAGGTGGCCAAAACATTAACTATTCTGAACCCTGGTTTTATGTAGGAGACCAGATGTCATTAGGTAACAACTTCTTAAAAGACTTGCTTAATGTTGTCTGGGAGACTAGATGTCATTAGGTAACAACTTCTTAAAAAAACTTACTTAATGTTGTCTAGGTGACCAGATGTCATTAGGTAACAACTCTTTTTATTTAGGAAACAACATGCTATAAGTGACATCCATGCAAAATTCTTGTGAATTTCAGTTCTATAAAGGAGACTAATGACTTCTAGGTGATACATTTCTTATAGAACTCTGAAACTCAGTTCTATAAAGGAGACTAATGGCTTCTAGGTGATACATTTTAATGACTTCTAGGTGATACATTTCTTATAGAACTCTGAAACTCAGTTCTATAAAGGAGACTAATGGCTTCTAGGTGATATATTTGTTATAGAACTCTGAAACTCAGTTTTATAAAGGAGACTAATGGCTTCTAGGTGATACATTTCTTGTAGAACTCTGAAACTCAGTTCTATAAAGGAGACTAATGACTTCTAGGTGATATATTTGTTATAGAACTCTGAAACTCAGTTCTATAAAGGAGACTAATGACTTCTAGGTGATATATTTGTTATAGAACTCTGAAACTCAGTTTTACACAGAAGACTAATTCTCACAGAATTCACCTGAAACAAAGCTTCTCTATAACTTTGTTTTATTTAGGAAACCATGTGCTGCTGGATAAATTCAAACAAAACTAAAACATCTAGTTAAGTGATAAATAGATCAAAGTGTTGTAAATAACCAGTGAATTTTAAAATCGACATAGAATGCACTTAACACAGTTATTTTAAAATCTAGTAATTTTAAGGACTAGATTCAATAACTTTATGGTGCAGTTAATTTTAAAAGTCTTGACATAACAGATTAACAAACCTAATTCATTTTAAAATCTGTAAATTATTGATCGAGTTTAAAATGTCAGAATGAAGTGCAAGTAAAATTTAGTTGATAATGCTTAGAGACGGCTTGAATGGGTAATGAAGAAAAAGTTTAATGTAACGGCAACGTCAGATGATGACAAAACCTTGTCGAAACGTAGTACATTTGATGTTATGTTAAACTTATATTAAAGTTTTCTTCGTTACCCATTCAAGCTGTCTCTAAGCATTATTAGTCTCCAAGTGGGTTCCTCGTCATCGAATTTGAATAAAACTTAGTTGATTAAAAATTGTACATAAAATAAAAACTGACAATTCTTAATTTTTTCTTTAACCTATGTGACAGACATTTATGGAAAACTTAAGAATGTTATTAAAAAATAGCTTTTTTTTCACCAGATTTTTATTATTTGTGAGATGTTTTATGAATCTAAATATTATTTTATAACTTTTTTTTTAATTATATGAAATGCATTTGAAAAGTTTTGATGTTTAAGATAATTTAAATGTATATGTCTGTTCTACCTGTACCAAAAAAAAAAAACTAAAAGATCTCGTGAAGACACAACATTTATTCTTGTTTTTATTAAAATTCAAATCACAAATCAGCTAAATTTCTTCACTGGATGAAAAGGAAAAAACACCAACATTGAAATTTTCAGGATCCAAGTGTCATTAGCCAAATTTGAGTACTAAAACTTGTATAAGAAATAGACGCATCCACATAGAGTAAGTGAACAAAAGGGCTTGAGCAGTTTCTAGAACCACCTGTTGTAGATCATTTTCAATGATTCCATTGGTCTTCATGGATAAAAAAGCAAACATAGTATTTATCATAAAACAATTTCAAAAAGCAGATTAACTTTGTAACAAGTTTTGAAGTACAATCAGTCTTTTTAACTTCATTGCCCAAAGAGCCCGAGCTCCCAAAACCTTTTTTCACTTCACAACAAAATACCAATACTAAAACTTACATTTCAGCTACCAAAACTGATACAAATTTTTCCTTCAAACTTGAAAATACTTGCAGGAATAAGAATGACACGTTCCTTAGTTCTACACATACCACACGACCTCAAGCCGTACCTAAAGTATTATTAACTTGTAGTAAAGTATACACATACACACATTGAACTAATTAGTAATAGTTATGACAGACATCACGTTGCTACACTGATTGTGCGAGGAACCTTGATGTTTTTATCCTCACTGGGAATGTTTTGTGCACAAGTTTTCTGTAAAGCTTTACTCTCCAACCTTCAAATATCAAGATATGTTACTGTTTTTAACAGGATGAAAGATATCTAGTGTGCTACGATGAACCATGATATTTAACGTGAAGAAACTCAAGCATCTCTTCTAAGTATAATTTGATGTGTTAGTATTGGACTGGATAATTCAACCCATTTCACTACAGTAATGATTTCTGTGTGGATGAATTATAGGATTTTGACATCACATTAAGAAGCATGAAATAGGCTTAAATGAGTTCTCTTTGTTAAGCCTATTTTTTCCCATGAACAGATTTTTATGATTCATCAAAACCAAAACCATCTCTTTAAGTTGTGCCAGTAAAACATGTTGTTTTTTTTGCAACAAAGATACTTACAGTATTCCTCGTTACAGACGCCTTTGTAAAGCTTCACGTCACTACTCAATAATGAGAGGTGGCTTGTAGTGCCATTACGCACGACTGTAGTTTCACCAAAACTGAATACAACACTAAATTATACAACTGTTAAATGTACAACACAGTTTGATTACATTAAACTGCAAACAAAAAATAAATAAAAGAAATTGTTACTGCAATAGCCTACTATAGTATTGCACCATAGTGTATTAATCTATAACCCAATTAACAGCAGTTGGCTTACATTAATAGAATAAATTTTTAATCAGTTAAAACTATTTCTTTAGTATAATATTTTGATACTGTATGTAAAAATTTCCTGAACAATTGTTTTAGTTTCCTATGTAATATTAAGTATTGTAAATTTGTTATGTATTGTTGTTTCACTACAGATTATTTTTGGAGTATAATTTGTTGCTAAGAGATGTAATGTAATAATTTCACTGAGAAACAATTGGTACATAAAACCTGTTAATTTCTGTAATGTTGTTTTACTACAGGTTATCATTGGTTGCTAAGTGATGTAATGATCTATAACTATGGTCTCTCTCTCTGTAAAAGGCTTTGATAAAACTAGAAGGCTGTAGTTTCTGGAACTGTATTGTAAATGTTAGATAACTGTATAATTTAATGTTTCTAACCTGTTTTAAGATCCATGGCCATGAAAAAGTAGGATATTTTACTAAAAATGTGGCTGAAAAAAAATTATGAAATATTATAATCGAAAAAGCACAATAGAAATTATTAGTAAACAGTTTAGTTACATTAGTTGAGCTGATTTCAACTTTCAGATTTTCAATCTGATACCAGGAAGATTGGAAACGGTAGTAACTGGCAGAGTATGTGATGAACACACACAAAAAAAAAAAGAACATGCCACGTTTGCCATCTTTGTGATCCATTACCCTAATGCACTGTACCTACGATGCATATTAACTACAACAGAAAGTGTAAAAGTAGTCAGCTGTCAAATCAGTTATAATTTTAAAAAACGTTTTTTGCTGTAATGTCCTTTAAAAACACTGACTGTAGTGTTATGTAGCTTTATTAAACATGGCTGTAATGTCCTTTAAAAACACTGACTGTAGTGTTATGTAGCTTTATTAAACATGGCTGTAATGTATTGTGTACTTTCATTATAACTAACTGTTTTCAGCCAAAATGTTTATAAAATATCTGGTACATTAAATATGAGGGTTTCTTGTAACAATGATGTGTTGTCTCAGAGTAATATTGAAGATTAAACAAACTCAACACAGTAACTCTCACAAAAACAAACTGAGCTTTGAACCACAATTTTGGTCTATTATATAACATCACAAAAAATGTGTTTGCTTTGAAACATTTTAAACCGTATGATTTTTCCTTCTATACCATTCATAAAGTTAAATTTAATCCTTGGTCTAAAGAATCATGTTTGCTCCTTTTGCCATAAATTAATGTATTAATGTTTAGGGACTAATTATAGGAGTTACAAAACCTACAATATGTACCTTAATATTACATGGTATTTTTATTTTATTTCTGTTGTTCAATTCTATTAGGAATTTAACCTTTTCTTGACAATTCTTCTGTCACTCTCTTTAGTTCATTGTTATAAGCTGGGAATAAGATGAACTTTACTGATGAGTTCTGACTACTTTAGTGCCACAAGTGCATAAATCTGTCACTTCTTTGTGTCAACTTCTGTGTTTAATAAACAATGTTACAAATAGTTTTTGACTGTTAAGTTAATTGTGTAAGATGAACAACCATATTTTACCTAAATGAGCACAAATGAAAGGCCATGTTTAGATTTTAAAAAAACCAACAAAAACATTTCTTATATCTACTAAACCAAAATGTAAGTACAAATGTCTGAAAAAATACATTTCAGCAAATTAAATTTAATTACTTGTAAAAAAAACCCTTATATTTATTGTTTTTAATAATGATTTGTTTATCTCTGAACTTAAACAGAAGCACTGCGATATAGTTCAGAAAAATCATAAACAACACAGCAGAAAAAATTAAAATATTATAAGCTCATAAAATCACAAAATTGCATATGCTTAAGTACCAACAATCACAGATGTTTCTAGTTATAAAAGTATATCAACTTAAGTTAGATCCCAAAAATATAATTTTTTTTGAGAAAATAGAGAGTACAAGTAAAACGTAAACCATCAACTTTCAATACAACAAACCCATGAAAATCTAGTCACGAAGGGCTAGAAAATAAAATATTCTTTGTGGGATTTAAGGTAACAAAAAAAAGGGGGGGGTCATTTTATTTGAATGTTTTGAAAGAATGAAAATCTGCCTAACTATTGTAGCACAAAAATATACATAAAAAATACACTTGGCAACGATCAAAAATACAAAATCTTACTTTTCATCTTCCATAAATCACAATTAAAGCTAAAACAAATTTCATTCAAAATACTTGAACAATAATTCAAACTCATAATACAGATTAAACATAAGAACGTATTTTCATACTTAAGTTTTAACAAAATAACAATTATATATATATATGAAACATAGCTGCTAATGAAAGTCAACAAAATCTCTGCATTTAATCAAAATATAGAAAATTTTAAAACCTAAAATGGCTGATATAAAGAATTAAATAAAAGAGCGTAAGTCTGTGTATGAAAATAAGCTACCTTTCAACAGATAAAATCATAAACCTTTAATGAATGAAGGAGCGTTAACACCTTCTATAATAATTGGTATAATTTATGATTGGTTTTGGTGGGAGATCTTGTTACTCATTTTTTATATATTTGTCAGGTGGAATTAAAATATTGAAGTATCTGTTTCAGACATTCACTTAAAGCTACTCGAGGGCTATCTGCATTAGCTGTTCCTAATTTTAAATTGATAGAAAAAAGGCTAGTCAGCAACACCCACTGCCAACTCTTGATTGCTCTCACTGAATAGTGGAATCTGACTGTCACTCTTTTAATGCCACCCATAGCCAAAGGCCTAGCATAAAAAATCTTTGATTGCTTATTCTTTAGTTGCTTTTATAGGAATTACAATAGTCTAGTCAACAATGATGAATTAAAATGTCTTAAGACTGTTTGACTTATCCTAAGTGTTGATGAAGCCATATAGTTAACATCCATGTAATGTAGATTTGTAAATAATTCAGGAAGGTGATAACTAATGTATTTGTACAGTCACTTACTCTGTATGACAATATCAAATAACAGTTCTGATAACATTACCACTTATGTCAAAAAATAAAACCTATCTTTAATTTTTCCTTTCTTGTTCTTGAGGGACAGCTTTGAAAAACCTAACAGGTCCTTGTTAGCCGTATGTGAGAAGTAGAATAGTTAGCTTTTCCTACTTAAACCTAGTTCTAGGTTAAACCCAAATTGTCTGCTGTTCCTACTGGAACCCAGTTCTAGGTTAAACCCAAATTGTCAGCTGTTCCTACTGGAACCTAGTTCTAGGTTAAACCCAAATTGTCAGCTGTTCCCACTGGAACCCAGTTCTAGATTAAACCCAAATTGTCAGCTGTTCCTACTCGAACCCAGTTCTAGATTAAACCCAAATTGTCAGCTGTTCCTACTTAAACCTAATTCTAGATTAAACCCAAATTGTCAAATGTTCCTACTTAAACCTAATTCTAGATTAAACCCCAATTGTCAGCTGTTCTAACTTGAACCTAGTTCTAGATTAAACCCAAATTATCAGCTGTTCCTCCTGGAACCTAGTTCTAGATTAAACCTAAATTGTCAGCTGTTCCTACTGGAACCTAGTTCTAGGTTAAGTCCAAATTGTCAGCTGTTCCTCCTGGAACCCAGTTCTAGATTAAACCCAAATTGTCAGCTGTCCCTATTGGAACCCAGTTCTAGATTAAACCCAAATTGTCAGCTGTCCCTACTGGAACCTAGTTCTAGATTAAACCTAAATTGTCAGCTGTTCCTACTGGAATCTAGTTATAGGTTAAACCCAATTCTTGTCAGCTGTTCCTCCTGGAACCTAGTTCTAGGTTAAACCCAAATTGTCATCTGTCCCTACTAGAACCCAGTTCTAGGTTCTTTTGTGGAATCTGTTTTTTATAAACAAATAAAATTGTTCTATAAAGTTTGCAAGAAAATAAAAATAAAACATTGGGATAGATATTAATAATACAAAACAATATCCAACATAACATAACTACAAGAGCAATCTATTGAAAACTTGGAGTTATAGCAACAGTACCTAGCCAGAAACTAGTTTTGGAATACTTAACTATACTAGAGGTATAATTTACTTTCAGGGACATTGTGCTACTATATTAGAACAAAAAACATCAGTTTTTGTGTTTGTTAATCTTAACAGAGCTATTGAAACAACACATTACTATCCTGGAATTACAGCAATGATACAACCAGAAACCTGTGTGTTTTTCTCTTGGTTGTGGAATACGTAATCAGACTAGAGCTACAGGAACAATACTTTACCATCCTGGAGTTGTAACAAAATATAATCCAACTAGTTATAGAAACAACACACAATTCACCTGTAGATAAAGAACCTGACCAGAGGAACATCAAATAAAGCAGAAAAGTCTTGCTCTGAGTTTGTACACAAAACTTTAATTAGGATCTTTGAGCTTCCTCGCTTTGGAAAAATACAATGACACTTTGAGTAGTAAAACGATTCATGAATGTGAAAAATATGTGATAAAAATAAATATATCAAAGCACCAGGAAACAATTTTGTTCAAGTAGTAAACATGCTTGTCCCTGTTTTTTTAAAAAACCAAGAAATCAAAGATAGCTAAAGCATTGTTTTATAGGCAGGTCTCTTCCTATGGGTTTCTTAGGTAATGCGTTGGGCTTAAGTTTGATATTTTTTCAACACTGACTTTCAAATGCCACACAATAAAGCCACGATGGGAGGCAAAAACTGTTCATGAAAAATACCATCAATGTGCCCGATACAATATTTAATAACTACATAAATGTTCTTAGATTGGTAAATAAGCTGTAAACACTTGAACAGTGTATTTTATTTTAATTAATGATGCATAATCTTACTTATTCAGTAAACGTTTTGAACATTTTTTTAACTTCTTTAAGCAAGCAGATAAGTATATAAAACTCAAAATCCAAACTAATCTGATTAATTTTCAGTTAAATCAGTCTATCAATTCAACTTACACATTTGTGTTCTTTCCCTATCAGTGACCCAGGTGACTTTTGCTTAAATTAGTAGGTCTTTATAGTACACAGAGAAGCTATGAGAAAAGATACCCCAAAACATAAAGATATTAAACCAAAAGCAAGATCTACCTAAAACTGATAGAAATGTCCCATACATCCGAACAGGGAAGAGGAAACAGTCCTTAAGACAGATAAAATGCTAAATCCTACTGTACCACAAACTGTACAAACACACAACACATATAAAAATGACTTTAAATTCATGCATATCTATCAGCAGTTTCATGACAGAAAATAAAAAAAGAAATCATGATTTCTAGGTTTTTCTAAACTGCTTTCTGTTCTTTTCTACTACATTAAAACATTATTTTTTTACTGCAGTCTGGAAACATGGAATCAGTCCTGATTCGAGTCTGCTGCAGAATCTTCTCGTTTTTTGCTCTTCAATTCTTTCTGATCAGCATCATCTTCGTTCTCTTCTGATGATTCCTCCTGGTCATCTTTCTGTGGTCCACCCCTTCGACTCTGTCTGGTAGACTCCTATAGAGAAGAATTGTAATAAAGTTGAATTAAAATTTACAAGTTAAACAAGACTAGTATATAATATAGTTGAACAAGACTAGTATATAATATAGTTAAACCAGACTAGTATATAATATAGTTGAACAAGACTAGTATATAATGTAGTTAAACAAGACTAGTATATAATATAGTTAAACAAGACTAGTATATAATATAGTTAAACAAGATACTAGTCTTGTTCAACTATATTATATACTAGTATAATATAGTTAAACGTCTTTAGTATATAATATAGTTGAACAAGACCAATATATAATATAGTTAAACAAGACTAGTATATAATATAGTTGAACAAGACTAGTATATAATAAAATAAAAAGTACATTTGATAAAGAAAAATAAATTTAACAAACCCATACCCTTGTTGGTGTCTTTTTTTGGGATGAAGGAGACTGTTGATTACCACCACGGGTTTGTGACCGGGTTTGTCGTTTATCTGCTTTCCCACCTTCCTCTGGGTATCCCAAGTCTTTCAGCAAGGCTTCACCTAAAAATTATTTTTTGCACTCCATCTCAGACAGTAAAGAAAAACAAAATAAACAAAGAAAAGTTTAACATTTTGAGCTATTCATCTGGCAAACCTAAAAATATGTAAAGTTTTGAAAGACACAAAGAAATGGTTAAAAATGCTGTAAGAGAAAGAGAAACATTTTGACCCAAATGACTTTCATCAGGGTTAGGGTTGATGAAAGTTATTTTTCAATCAAAGTGTTGGTTCCATATTTCTCTTACCTTTATGCATTTTAACCATTTCTGAATTTGTTTGTTATTTATGTTATTTTGATAGGCACCATTTAATTCAGATCCTAAATTCAATTCAAAGGTATGTTTTATATATATATAAACCAGAGATATTCACATGTCTTTCGGATGTCACAGGTCTTTTGTAAAGAAGTGGCTGAACCAATTTTGATCAAATTTGGTAGAATAACTCAGGTAGACCTCACAAAGTATATTTTTAAATGCATAAGCAGACAGGTCAAAGGTTTGAGCTCCTCAACCATTTCAGTTTTTACCACAATAATGCCATAATTTAGGGCTCAACTGATGTAGAAGGTCTGACAACAGACACAAAGCAATACATTGCAAGCCAAGTATTAAACAGATACTTTCAATTCACAGAAAAGTGTACATTGTCCAGTGTCAAAATGTGGTTTAAATAGATAGTTGACCTCTCACAACTTTAAATTTACTAAATTGTCCAGTGTCAAAATGTGGTTTAAATAGATAGTTGACCTCTCACAACTTTAAATTTACTAAACTGTCCAGTGTCAAAATGTGGATTAAATAGATAGTTGACTTCTCACAACTTTAAATTTACTAAATTGTCCAGTGTCAAAATGTGGATTAAATAGATAGTTGACTTCTCACAACTTTAAATTTACTAAATTGTCCAGTGTCAAAATGTGGATTAAATAGATAGTTGACTTCTCACAACTTTAAATTTACTAAATTGTCCAGTGTCAAAATGTGGTTTAAATAGATAGTTGACTTCTCACAACATCAAGTTATCACTACTGAACTTTATAATCTTAAATGTTACTGAAAGAGCACAATAACAAAGACAGAATATCTTAGTGGTTTATCTATTTTATCGATGACTTTAGGAGGTGAATGATGTAGGTATCCATATAACTGATAACTCAAACCATCAGTACTTGGTGAAACTCCTTAATTGAGGAAACAAAAACAATTGTACGTTTTACAAATATTTCATTAATCACTGCCATCATTTTGCCAGTAAAGGTATTTTCTGTACCTGATGTTGCCTTTATGTCTGAGAAATAGGGTACTTTTAAGGCATAAGGGCAGGGGCTTGAGCCATTCTGCCACCCCCTTTGCACATCCAATAAAACAAGTGTTACAATTCTGTCAGAAGAGGTAGGGTCGAAAAAAAATGTGCCCACCACTAGTATATGTTTAGTTCAATTATTTGTTGGTACCCACTACTAGTATATGTTTAGTTCAATTATTTGTTAGTACCAGTCACTAGTATATGTTTAGTTCAATTATTTGTTAGTACCCACCACTAGTACATGTTTAGTTCAATTATTTGTTAGTACCTGCCACTAGTATACGTTTAGTTCAATTATTTGTTGGTACCCACTACTAGTATATGTTTAGTTCAATTATTTGTTAGTACCAGTCACTAGTATACGTTTAGTTCAATTATTTGTTACTACCCACCACTAGTATATGTGTAGTTCAATTATTTGTTAGTACCAGCCACTAGTATATGTTTAGTTCAATTATTTGTTACTACCCACCACTAGTATATGTTTAGTTCAATTATTTGTTACTACCCACCACTAGTATATGTTTATTCAATTATTTGTTAGTACCAGCCACTAGTATATGTTTAGTTCAATTATTTGTTACTACCCACCACTAGTATATGTTTAGTTCAATTATTTGTTACTACCCACCACTAGTATATGTTTAGTTCAATTATTTGTTAGTACCAGCCACTAGTATATGTTTAGTTCAATTATTTGTTAGTACCAGCCACTAGTATATGTTTAGTTCAATTATTTGTTAGTACCCACCACTAGTACATGTTTAGTTCAATTATTTGTTAGTACCAGCCACTAGTATATGTTTAGTTCAATTATTTGTTAGTACCCACCACTAGTACATGTTTAGTTCAATTATTTGTTAGTACCCACCACTAGTATATGTTTAGTTCAATTATTTGTTAGTACCCACCACTAGTATATGTTTAGATAAATTATTTGTTAGTACCAGTCACTAGTATATGTTTATTTCAATTATTTGTTAGTACCCACCACTAGTATACGTTTAGATCAATTATTTGTTAGTACCCACCACCAGTACATGTTTAGATGAAGTATTTGTTAGTACCAGCCACTAGTATACGGTACTAACAAATAATTGAACTAAACAGCCACTAGTATATGTTTATTTCAATTATTTGTTAGTACTCACCACTAGTATACATTTATTTCTATTATTTGTTAGTACTCACCACTAGTATACATTTATTTCTATTATTTGTTAGTACCTGCCACATGAAAACATTTTTTTACTATGTTAATATCTATGCAATAAGCCACCTTGACATTTAAGAAGTTTCCAAAAAAAGATGGTAAGGTGTAAATCCCAGGTAAATAAACATCAAACCCTTTGTTTATATTTATATTTGAGAAACTCCAAACCAAATCCACCCTTTTGTGAACTGATTTTCATATTTAAATTCTAACAATGTCATCTTATCTTTGGCAGGATAATATTTTATAGTTCAAGCTGCCTTACCTTCTTGAGCTGTTTTAGCCATTGTTCCCAACCTCTTTAGTGAAACTTTAGCTGTGTCACGAATGGCTCGAGTTGCTGATCTCGTTTCTTCTAACACTTCTTTCCCGAGGAATTTCTTTCCTGTCTGGATTCAGAATGAAAGATTTACGTGCAAATAATTTAGTTTATTAAATGTAATTTCTGATTCTTATTGTTTTTTTTTAGACAACGAATCATTTATCAGTTTAACTGTTGAACAATGATATGGGTCCTTCAAAGTTTTATTTGCTACTCTTAATATAAGCCAACATTTTAGCATAAACTTCTTATACACATATCTCACTATTCTTGACGTTTATAGATTTCTCTCAACAGCAACTCTGGTTAACCATTTATAATCAAGTTGTGCAGCATGTATGTTAGTACAAAAAATACTGGTAATCTGTTTCATAGTATTGTAACAGACACAAAAGAAATTATTTTGTACTAAAGCACACTATAAACAAGTAAACTGTACAAGACTAACCGTTGCTGTTTCCACCATTGTATGGTCCTTGACTAGCTTTGCTTTCTTTGCTACTGGCCCTTCCACAGCACCGTTACCATCTGTGTTCTCAGCTGATACCTGACCTTTCTGGTTAGATTCTGTGTTATCTTCCTGCAGAGACCACAAGAAGTACACTTATACTAAGATATTGAGGAACCAGAACATGATACAAGACCACAAGAAGTACACTTATACTAAGATATTGAGGAACCAGAACATGATACAAGACCACAAGAAGTACACTTATACTAAGATATTGAAAAACCAGAACATAATCAAGACCACAAGAAGTACACTTATACTAAGATATTGAAAAACCAGAACATAACCAAGACCACAAGAAGTACACTTACACTAAGATATTGAGGAACCAGAACATGATACAAGACCACAAGAAGTATACTTATACTAAGATATTGAGGAACCAGAACATGATACAAGACCACAAGAAGTACACGTATACTAAGATATTGAGGAACCAGAACATGATACAAGACCACAAGAAGTACACTTATACTAAGATATTGAGGAACCAGAACATAATACAAGACCACAAGAAGTACACTTATACTAAGATATTGAGGAACCAGAACCTTGTGGTCTTGTATTATATGTTCTGGTTTTCAATATAAGTGTACTTCTTGTGGTCTTGTATCATGTTCTGGTTTTCAATATAAGTGTACTTCTTGTGGTCTTGTATCATGTTCTGGTTTTTCAATATAAGTGTACTTCTTGTGGTCTTGTATTATGTTCTGGTTTTTCAATATAAGTGTACTTCTTGTGGTCTTGTATCGTGTTCTGGTTCCTCAATATAAGTGTACTTCTTGTGGTCTTGTATCATGTTCTGGTTCCTCAATATCTTAGTATAAGTGTACTTCGATACAAGACCACAAGAAGTACACTTATATTGAGGAACCAGAACACGATACAAGACCACAAGAAGTACACTTATATTGAAGAACCAGAACATGATACAAGACCACAAGAAGTACACTTATATTGAAAAACCAGAACATAATACAAGACCACAAGAAGTACACTTATATTGAGGAACCAGAACACGATACAAGACCACAAGAAGTACACTTATATTGAGGAACCAGAACACGATACACATTCACCAACTAACATGACTCGTACATTAACCGAGCAAATAATAGGCACAGTTAAAGTTTCTTTTAAGATACATGTAACTCATTTAATTTAACGAATTCAGTCCTAGCGGCTACTTGTACGTCATTTAGTTGAGATATAAATGCTGTACACTGAAGCTGTAAAATAAGTTTTGTGTATTTCGATCACATTAAATTACTGCTTTGAAAGAACATTTCTCTCTCTTTCTGAAGGTTAAACCATATTTAAGGTGCTGTTGTTTTTACTAAGCAATAAAGAACAAGTGATTTCTTAATGTTATTTTCATTTTACTTAATACCATAAATTTATTTTAGGATCAAACCAAAACTCTTGATGTACTATAGAGGTTGAGTATGTTATATTCAGTCGATTTTGAATATACATATTAGCATTTCATATGATAAACATGGCCAATATAAAGTTATAGTGGTACAGGAGGTATCAGAACAACTTTTTACATTATCTTTTGTAGGTAGTGTGATGTCCTTGAAAATTGGTGACTTTTGAGAAGGATATGTAACAGTGCTTTCTGATGCAAAATCTTTAGACACTCAAATGATGAAGATGTGTTGAGAAAAGAGAAAACAAAGTAACATGGATCAACTTGGGACACCAGGTGAAAATCCATGAACACAAAGGTCAGTGGCAAAAGCATCCATGTCTTCTAAGTAATAACAGTATACAACATAATCAAAATGCCTTTTCATCTCAAAAAGCAGCACAACTCATTTGTACACAAGCTGATTCTGTGACATATCCATTTAACCATTACATACCTCAACAACTGTAGAATAAAATATGTATTTATGCTATTCCATATGTATACATAGTGGTCATATTGCCAAAAGTAGTGCTTATGGTTCTCTGTGCAACTGGATTGTTGAATTGGCTGCTAGGAGTCTTTTATCTTTATATATCAGATGGATTATAGAAAGCATGTAGGAAGGAGTAGTGCATCTTGAACATGACAGCCTTGTGACAGAGCCTTTTGCAATGGAAACTATGCTTCAGGCCTTTGTTTATTTGTAATTAAGC